GCCCTGCTCCCTGGAGGTGGTGGCAACAGACTGGAAGGTGGAGGGCAAGGCCAGTAGGCCTCCCCCCCGGCCCTGCTCCCTGCAGGTAATGTGGGGGCGAGTGGGTCCAGATGGTGGGGAGGGCCCAGGGCTCCATTCTGCCCCCCGCCCCCTCCTCCCCACCTCCCATCATTTGGGCAATGCATGATGGGCAATTGGCTAATTTTATAAGAAAGTTAAAATGTTACAGTAGATGTTTGACTTTTAGTATATGATTTGATTTTTTCTGGTTCCAAGATGGCAACCTCCCCCTCCCCAAAACAAGTACTTCCAGGGGCAAGAAAAGGGACTTCCAGTGGCAAAAGTGAGGGATTAGGGGGCAGGACTTCTGGTCACACCACCAGGGAGAAGATGGCAACCAGGAGGAGGGGGCCCCAGGTTGCTTTATACCGATGGACAGGGAATGGCTATAAGTGGTGAATGAGAAGGCCACAATGGGGTGTTTGAGGGGTGCACCATGCACACATTAGTGCTTGAGGGTTGTGTGAGGTTTTGGAGGAGGATGCTGGGGCTCTCAAGACCAGCCAGGCAGAAAGCTGAGAAGGACAAAGCCTGCAGGACCAACGGCCCAGAATCTGAGAGAGCGAAACGAAGGCCAGGGGCCCAGAGCCCAAGAGGAATGAAAACCAGGAGCAAGATACCCAAGATGGGGGCAAGATGGGAGCTGGAGCCAATGAGCTGAGGCCCATTGCAGTCGGCCTAGGCTAAGAAGCCCAGCTAAAGGAAAGGGGTGAAGGCTGGGAATGTCAAGACCGCAACAAGAGTATGGAGGCCTAAGGAAACCTGACATTGTAGTGCTTAACCAATAACCAGCCTGGGTATGGCTGCAGGGGTGAAAAGTAGGGGGTGTGTGAAATGGGCTGTATTTGATTTGGATTTGGATTTGGATTTGGCCCGAATCAGGGACAGTGATTCAATTTGTTGATTCAGATCACTGTCCCCAATTCGATTTGGCCAAATTCGAATCTTAAGATTCCATGCTGATTTGGACAATCAACAATTCAGCCACAGACAAAGCTTTAAATGTTTTTTCTACATACCTTGAAGTACCAGGTGCAGCCTGTGAACGCCGCAATGCTGGGGCGGCTGGAGTGTCCCACAGGAGCACAGGGGGTTCCCCACTTGTGCTTGGCAGAGAACCCAGAAGTGGACCAGAAGTACTTCCGATCCACTTCTGGGTCCGCTGCCAAGCGCATAGGGGGGCCCCCACACCTCCCCGGCTTGGTGATTGGCCATGGGGTGACCCCGGGTGCCCACCCAGACCCAGAAGGCACCAGTCGCTGAGCTGGAGGGACGCAGGGGGGCTCCCCCGCATGCTCCCCGGTGGGACCAGAAGTGGACCAGAAGTGCTTCTGGTTCACTTCCGGGTCTCCTGCCAAGCATGGTCCATCCGCCCCACCATCGCAGCATTCACAAGCCGCCTGGTACCTTGAGTTATGTAGAAAAAACAGTTAAAGCTGTGTCTATATCTGAATTGCCAAATCTTTTCAAATTTCTCCAAACCGATTCAGAGAGATTAAAGAGTCTCCTGATTCAGTTTGGGTTCGGATTCGGAGATTCGGCCTCCAAATTGAGCTGAATCTCTATCGAATCAGGGGCCAAAGCTTCACAGAGCCCTAGTGGTAGGGGGCCATGAATAGCCTGTAAGGTAACTGGTGACCTAGGGGGCACAGACAGGGCCAGGAAGGTGCCACTTAACACGTGAGGGCAGGACTGAGATCAGCTGGGTCTGGGAGAGACTCACTGGACCAAGAATAGAAGAGGGTTCACTCTGGGACCCTGGGGCAGCCCCGTTTTTCATAATCTAATTATTCCATCAAAGGTGTGGCAGGTGAGAGGAAAGGGAGGGTACCCAAGGGGCCAGAGTAGGACAGGAGCTGCGTGGCCACCAGGGGGAGTCACAGCCACCCCCAGGGCCTAGTACTGTTATAAATGCTTTACCCACATCACAATACTCAAGGTAAACTTTATTTTAAGTTTTAAGTGGTACCTTCTGTTGTCTTGGTGGATCCATATTTGCTGTTTGTGCTGGGGCTTCATCCATACCCCTATGGACAAACTTGTTGAAGGAACAAAATTAAATTAAAAGATTTAGGTAAAGATTTGAGACACATTAACTGGAATTATTCTTCCCTTATGGAAGAGAAGTTGTGGACTCTAGGTATATTTTGCACCACTCAGAACCCAGAATGTGCATGGAAATTGGAACCATTTTTACAGATATTATGGCCTTTGTACTGAGGATCTGCCTTACTGCATTTCTTTTTAATGGCACAGAACTGTCAGGAAAGTTGGATAGTTTTGGTTGAATTTGACTCTTATGGAATCGGAATTTAAGTACAATTTATGTATTTTGTAGACCATGTAAAAGGCATGTAAAAGACAAACTATAATGTATACTAGGAACCGTTGATGGGACCCTACCTTTAGCATCTTTCTACTCTGAAATCTGCAGTGTGCTGATAGAATAACCCCTCACTGTAGAAGGTGTTCCTTTTTCCTGTCTTCTCCTCCTCAATCCATTGAGCCTTGAAAATATGAAGTGGTACTGGTATGTTTGGGGATGCTTTACTGTCTCCGTTTGGTAGAATTAGGGTGTATGATTTTCTAATTCTTGCTTCTTTTCTTTTCTTCAGGCAACATGGTAATGAGGAAGCTAGGGCCTGGGGCCAGATCTTTAGAGGTACATAGGCCCTAACTCCCATTAACATGAAATGGAATGAGGTGCCCAAGTATGTTGGAGCATCTGAGCTCTGCCTCTCGTTCTGCTGTGGTGCCAGCATTGAACTGCTCTCTATTAGCATTACATATGGCTGGAGTTAAATTTTGTACCTGTTCATACCGTTCAGTTTTCTTTTTTCTGTTCAGTAGAAAAAGTTAAAAAATATAAATCCCCCAGTAGCCAAAATTATGGATAATTGTAAATGCCAGGAGGAGATTATGCTACCCTATTTATTTTTGTTCGCAGAATGAACAATCACATATATTTACCTCCTTTTTACTATAGGAAATCATGACTCTTAAAACAAATAAACTCTATCAGACAATGCAGAGAGCTCAAGAACTTGCACAGAGACTGAAACAGGAACAGCGTATTCGAGACTTGGCTCAGAAAGGACATGACATTTCAAAATTGCAGAAGAACCTTGCAGGAGGCAAGTATCAAACTTTGATATTTCCATCTGTACCTTCCTTTGGTTTTTGAATGAGCGTTGATGGGTTTTTTGAGCAAAAAAATCTGCTTTAATAGTAAGTCTAGACTTACTAGCTCCTTGGCTTTAGAAACAGAAGAAGACTTACCCTGTTAAAGCTTCTTTCAATTAAGTATCTCAGCAGCCTAAATTTATACAATATGAATCAAGCCTCAAAATAGCAAATAATATTATTCACATTTCAGAAATGAAGAGAGACACTGATGGACATTTTAAAAAAGACCTAAGAGACATAGAGGGTAATGGAGTGGGACATGGTCAAACTGAGCCGGTAGCAGAGTTGGGTTCAGAAGTACTAATCCATGGTGATACTGTTAACTTGATACTGTGTTTTAAATATTAAATTCTTTAATCAAGTCATTTGCTTCGTATTTCTAGGTGATTCAGTATGCATGAATTATAAAACTGACCTTTCAAATTTAGGTCATGATAATTTCTCTGAAGATGTTAGTTCTAAGATGGATCAGAATGTAAAAGAAACCTCCCCTAGGAGAGAGACTGCTGTGCAGACAGGTATGAAACTCCAAAAGTCTAATTGTGATTATTTAGTTGGGGCTAAACAAATCATCTTTATGTGGCATGGAGTACCAGTGAACACTTAGGCAAGATAGTTTCTGTTAAGCTAATATGCTTTATTAGCTAAAATAGGAGAGCTAACCTTGGATGAGATGTTATGGGTCTTAAGTAGAGAAGGCATGCAGAGACGTATAAAAAGTGAGCCTTATTGGCCATGTTCACATGTGCATTTTGGGGCACCTCACAGGCTTTTGAGGAGCCACAAAACACACCCCATGCACGTGATTTGGTTCTCCACACTGCGTTGTGGAGCCAGATTTAGATATTGGGAAATTCTGGTTTAAAAAAAGAAGCCCACAGTAAAAAAGCACAACGTTGCACGTGACAGAAGTGTGCACCGCCTGAAACCAGAGCCTGGCCAGCCACAGCCACACTTCAAACTGCTGGCCAGGTTCCGTGCATCCAGATTGTTGCTGGAGCCCTAGGAGGCCCCCAGGTAAGACTGCTGGGATTGGCCCAGGTGCTGGCCTCAGCCTCTCTTACCCCACCTGGAGCATTTTTCCCCGTGCTGAACCCGTGTGTGCAGGGCCTCTTCTGGGGCAGAAGGCAGTGGCATGAATTTGCGCTGCTGCTTTTTTCCCCCACAGCAGCTGCATGCCTCTGCTCAGGGGGACACAGCCACTGAGTCTGAGTACCATCAAGGGTTTAGCAAAATCTATTTTCTGTCTCTAGCAAATTCAAATCGGTCTGGTTGTAATATGTCAATACTTAGGGTTATCAGTAAGCCGGGCAAAACCCAATTCATTAGCAGAAGCCTAATTTGAAGTATGTGAGTATTCCCATTAACTTCAGTGGTACTGCTCATGTATGCTTAAGCACACGCTGAAGTATCTTGCTGAATTTGTGTTCTAATGAGGAATAATGGATACTAGCAAAATTGCTGCCAGTGATTTTAGATTTGGAGAGCAGAAGTGCCGAAAGCCACTGAGTCTAACAAGTGGCAACCCTTTCCACAATTCCTTCTTGTAAAATATGTAGAAAAGTAGTTGGTGTATCCGGGTATCACACCCAGACCTAGTTCTGCAGCTGGCAATCTTTAAACAAGCTGTGGGCTGGAACAACTTGGCTCTAGTTAAATATAGGCCTGATGATTTTGGCAGTGTGTCAGAGGTGAGGGGACTTTGTCTACATCTGATGGGAAGCAGTGCTGCAGCTGGAAGGTGGGGAGCAAGTGGGAAATAGTGTGGATGTAGCTGCAAGTTGTCCAGCCCCTGCGCAACTCCCCACCAGCTGTAAGCTGTGCCCATGCCATGGCTAGGGAATAGGGGGCTGGGAGAAGCAGCAGCAGCACAAGCCAGCTCCCAGCTATGTGGCTGTGGTGTAGCTCCTTGCTAGCCAGTCCTGGTGCAGGTCTGGGCATGGGTACAGGCAAAGCCCTTCAGCTCCCTGGGCTGGATCTGACCCATGGGCTGTAAGTTACCAACACTTGTAGTTTGTTCCCAGATGTCTAACATCACTAATGACGACCAAAATGAAGGGCAAACTGCATTTTGTAGCATTGTAGTTAAGGCAGAAATTACCATACTTACCAGAAATGTGCAGCTGTTGATAGGGAAGGTGAGGAGTTTCTGATCATAACAAATATCTAAAATAAGTGCATGATTATTAACTTGCTGCACTGAAGCGGTTGGGAGGAATTTAGTTAGCATGGGGAAGGACTTTGAGCTTAAGCTAAAAACATGTTTTCAGCTTAGTAGCAGGAGTAGAAAGCTTTGGCAAATCTACAGAACTAAGTAGTATTTCGAGTGCTTTTAGTGTAGCATGTGGAGAGAACTAGATTCTAATTAGTTTTAAACATTGAAACAAAATCACTCCCTTTTGGAAGAAGAGGGGAAAATAGATACCAGACTGGGGATTTCAGTTACTGCTAGTATCATATAAATGGTTATTATGGTCTGACAAAACTTGAATCAGATGTGCAATGAATATTTTATAAAAAGTTATAATTTGTTCTTCATCTTTTAACTAAACAGACAGAAAGTGAACTGCTTGGGTTGGTCAAATAAAACGCACAGCAGTGCTTGTGCTGAGCATGCTCACCAGCTTCCAAAGCACACAAAGTATCATCTTTGGTGCTACACTCTGTGTGCATGCCAACAAGTCTTGACAAA